AAAATCACGTGGTGATCTACATCTGAAATTTCGGACTGTTTTCGAATTGTGCGGTTTATAGATGATAGCCACCATAGCTCGATGAAAGAGATAATCATAGTAATGAACAAGGGCTTTGGTAAGTCAAAATGTGTGGGGATTCGGAAGAGCGATTGTCGAGTATTAATGTTCGCTCATGTTTATCCTAATATTCTTTGATTTTGTCTAGGCTATCCGCATTCAACAATATGATTAAAATTTCAACGAAGTAACACAGTTTTTATGTTGAGAACGAAGGAACGTAAGTAGTAGTGCGGATTTTTATTTGTGGTGAGTAAAAGATGGAATTGTCCCGGTGCTGGCGGGTTAAGTTTAGATGAAAAGGAAACTCGGGAAAGAGGAATTTATAATCATAATGTTAGATGTGGAGGGAAGATCCACATTATTAGCTTGCTACGTACTGCTTAATAACATGAATACATACATACCTATATCTGTATTATTATAGCTGCGCCGTACCCTCTCTATATACTACCTCTTCCTTCTCCACGACGTCGAAGACATTAACATAGGGATTTCGTCTGTTGAGGAATTGTGTACCGCATGAACGCATATACAAGATTGGCTGTGTTGATTAGACGAAAGAAGAAACAAAACCAACTGGACAGAACGCGACGGGAAGACTATGCCTGCCAATTCGTTATGTTTACCTCGATTATATATTTATTTCACATGTTCGATCGCTTGACTATCACCTCCATCTCTTAAAATGCAGTGCTTGTCCTCATGAAGGTATTCTTAGCCTTTCTTTGTTGATTGTATCAATATTTCCCAACATTTGCAATTAATTTTCTCTCATAAATATCTCCAATCTGTTTCATATTCAAGATATTGACGTCCCTGAGGGTATATCTCGGTCGGCAGAGCAGTTCACTTTTTAAATTTTCGGATACATTGACAATTGTGCCGGAAGATGAAAACCATATCAAGGATAGCAGAGTAAAAAGATGAAGACCGATCAATTTTTATGTGGACGTAAGCGATAAGGGCATCCAACCGTCCGTTCAGGATAAGGCTCTAATTTCGCCGTGACCATTTCACATCTAGTGTTCCATCGCCGTGAACGTGAACGAAGGATACAGCATTTCGGCTTGGATTCTGTATTTTTATTTCAATTGTCATATCTCCGGCCCCATCGAACCCCGTGCAATAATGTAGACTGGGATGTTCAACCGATGTGCGATGATGGGAAAATCACGCCTCAAATCATATTCATTCTGTCTAACTGTCATTATCACGACGTACAGCTGAACCAAGTAAAACGCGATGCATGAAGATGTCAATAATCTTGAGATATGAGTTAATGGAGCTTATTACCTCAATAATGTCCACTTCGTCGACAAAGATTTACCAGCCGCTTGATAATAGCAGGACTAAATCTTTCACTGCTTGTTAATTCACTCCATGCTGACATTCACTAGTGATGGATAGTCGATCAATTGAAAGTTATCAAGTATTTGCATTGTGCTATGACTCTGTATATGGGCTGTAAAGGTATTCATTCACCTAATAAACCTTCAAGAGAATACGTTGTGCTAGAAAACAACGTTCTGGTTATGACCAGAATCCTGATAATCGGTCCTCAAGTTTTTCTTATTCTTCCTCGCTGACGTATAACAACCATATACTATTTCTTCAATTGTCAGGCAACAGAACGGTGAAGGTTATATCTACAAGAACAGTATGACCCCATCCATTCTCAATTGGTAATACTCTCAGAATGTGCATAATCCATATGTCGAATGCCATATGTGAATTAAAGCCTATTCTGCTGGATGTATCTGCTCAGTAAGCGACAATAAGATGATAGGCCCAGCGTCAATTTATTCCCAGGTGGTAGTTCAGTTGCTAATGGACTATAACGAAATTTATCTGGATTATGCGGGTACAATGTCTTTCGAAGATCTTCGGCCATTTACGCGTCAGGAGTTAGAAAAATATCCGACGTCAGCCCCGCACCAAACAGGTTTTGGGAACGCAAAACGGATATGGCTAGGTCGAGGTGCTTCAGCATGCTGAGGTGGTATTTTGAAATATTAACTAATAACTTAACTATGTGCTAATAACCCTCCTTTGCCCAGGTGAACGTTAGCAATCACTGCAAACTGATAACCCATTTAGTACAATAGCCTCTCCGTCTATTAAGTTCAGTAGACAATTCGAGTCTATTTGCGCAAGAACCTCGACAGCGGAAACAACAAGAGGAAACGTGAGGGTGCTGAAAAATTCGTGAAATCTGGGAACAAATATAAGAGCATTGCTTGGATAATCGATGCAGTATTGTGGAGAGAGATGGAATCGAACAACAATCGGCTCTACGAAAGCATAGGGCATCAAGTTTCATACCAAAAGTATTATTAGAATCCCCGACCGAGAACGCGATATTTATTTTTTACAAGCGTGTGTGGTAGCGTAAAGAAAAAATCCGATGGATGAGTGTTAGGGTTAGGTGAGGTTCCCAATATTGTCTATGCAATATATCACTTGAGAACGTTTTCTTTGGGCCTAAATAGACCATTCCTAACGAACCGAAGATGGGTTTCCCAGCAAACCGAGAGATAACGTGACGTTTTCTGACAACGTCGAATGCCCTCATTTATTGTGGTCGTATCAGATTTTATCATTACGAGCTTGAGTATATTTGTCCTGGCCACTGCTTCGTATGCAGCGTCTCGGCAAAGTAAAGCTTTGCGTATTGATGTTTGAGATTTACGCGCTTGTGTTGTTTTTTTTTGCATCTGTCCCCGCCACGTATATCATAATTAATATCATCCCAGTGCTCGAATGACAGCTGGTCTCCTATAGTCTAGGAAGAAATAACGCGGTCCGCAAAAACATTGTTGCAGTAAATCGTGGTGGAAACGAATTCAAGAGCTCTCCCGTGCTATAAATTTAATAACTGATAGTATAGTATGTTGAGTGCTTTCAGAGTTCGCGTAGAAAGCTGAGACGTTGTATAGAGGTTAGAGTATTTCGAAGGAACGAGTCTCCTGTGATTTATTTTCTAGCAGCATACTCTGCTATGTCTGCACAAATCCACATCGCCACGTTTTTCGCGAATTGTTATTAAATCAGCGGGTTTCTTGTAATCAGTTCCATTTATACTGACAATTGTTTTTTGGATATCGTTTGGTTGCTTTTCAATAACGTTCAATTCACATTGAAAGAGACAAACGTGACCAGAATTTCGATTGCTTCAATCTTTGAGCCAGAGAAACTGATTGTACAGATACAATTGACACTGTTTATACGAGCTCTGAATATAACGAACCAAAATTGCCAGAGCCAATTTTTATGATTAACAGAACGAATTTTATTGGTAAATCTGTTTATAACGGATCCGAATTCAGCTTTCAAATTTACGTGTTATATTGTATATGTAATTGCTCTTCGTATAACGGAC